CCCTGGTGGTGCAGTGGTTAAGAATCCACCTGCCAATGAAGGAGACACGGGTTCAAGCCCTGGTCTGGGAAGATCGAACGTGTCCCGCAGAGCAACTAAGCCCGTGCACCACAACTACTGAGCCTGCACTCTAGAGCCTGCGAGCCACAACTACTGAGCCCCTGTGCCACAACTACTGAAGCCCGCGCACCTAGAGCCCATGCTCCGCAACAAGAGAAGCCACCACGATGAGAAGCCCGCACACCACAACGAAGACCTAATGCAGCCAAATTAAATTAATTAATTAAATTTTTTTTGAAAAAAGCACACTGGAAATAACATTTTTTTAAAAAGTGCATAAATGTTCACACAGAAAGTATTCTTAACAACGTTAACTCTCACTTTTATGTCATTTTAACTATGAATTTTTTAAACTTTCCTAGTTTTAGGGTAAAATAAAGCAAGCTTTTTATTATTCATTTGGTTTCAGTATTGTTTTATTTGTTTTGGTATAAATGGCAAAAAGATTTCTTCAGAACAGCAGCGTATTATGCAAAATAAGTTCAGCTTATTGGGGCTCGTTAGAATAAAACAATACTCTTAATACCTTATTTGTGTCAAAAACCTCCTGAATTAATGGCGTAAGGGAGAGAATAATCAGATAATTCTGAGCTTACTCTCCATCTTTTTATGCACAATTTTGCAGAGGTCGAGGAAGGACTAGATCATCTTCCTTTGTTAAGTACTGGCATTAACAGAAAGGGGAAAGGCCTCAGTCGGTTTACAGGATAAACCCGCACTTAAACTTGTCTGATGGACGTCAACTTTCAACACCACTGTGAGACCCCATCACCTCCACTGGGGATAAAGTCGAGGCTGAATTGAGTCCTTTCAGGAAAGGGGAGCTCAGAGGGTGGGGTGTCAGTCAACTGGGCTGTGCCCACCGTGTTGAAGGCCTGGCTCTGGGGACAGGGGACAGACCCGGGAGAAGGCACCTGTGCCCCTGGGGCCATGCTCACCAAGAAACACCACGACCTCCATGAAAGCAGGTGCTGTCACCGCTGCCAGGGTTTTGAGCACTCGTTATCCCCTCCTCACTCCTACAGAGAAGCAGCCACAGCGAATGTAACTCTTGCAACTACACAGGCCTTTTCACATTAAACCTCCCCTGGAAAGAATGATGCTGACTAGTCCTGACACTTGAGAGCCTGTCCTAGGAGACCAGCTACTTCCAAGCACAGAAACTGACACCAGCAACTGCCTTTGTGATATGACCGTCTTTGAACAGCAAGAAGCCTGCTTCCCTCACCATTCTGCCCCGTTAAACAGGTAAATGCTCCTTGTCTTACAGGCTCCGCCGTTTCTGCAGAGACTGGGAAAGGAAAGACACCAAGTATTTTTTTTAGGTTTTAATATTTGAGTTATGCCATTTATTTTGATTAGTTGCTTTCTTTATAATTTTTAAACTATCCAAAAATCTGGAACTGCTACTTACTGATCTTGAAATTTAATGCTAAGAGTTTTGATAACGTGTGGCTTATCTCAGGATAGAACACATAGATTTTAAATCAGGAAAAACATGAACTCATAGAGAATATCAGAGTAAGACTAGGGTTTTGTAACATTAAGAATTACTATGTGATGAAGAATTTCTGACCCTACTAGAATAAAGAATTGCTGGTTACTAGCTACACTGTTATAATTTAAATAATAATGTTCTGCAGAGAATCCGTTTTTACCATACAGTATTATAAATACATGAAGATTGATGTAGCATTAATGAAAATATACTCTTTGTATAAAACACTCAAAGAAATGGAATATTCAGAAGTTTGGTATCTCAGAAGAATTTGCCGGTGGAAGGATGTGAACCTATTGAAATACGATTTCCTATATGGTAGGAAAACAGTGACATCGCTAAGGATTCTATTTGATTAAAGAAACCTATTTTTTTTTAATTGGGGCATAGTTGTTTTACAATGTTGTGTTACTTTCTACTGTACGACAAAGTGAAGTAGAGCTCTCTGTGCTATACAGCAGGTTCTCATTACTTATTTATTTTATACATATTAGTGTGTATATGTCAATCCCAATCTCCCAATTCATCCCACCCCTCCTTTCCCCCCTTGGTATCCATACGTTTGTCCTCTACATCTGTGTCTAAAGAAACCTATTTTTAACCTGTATTTATAATGAGAAGAGTTACCCAATACCTTTTATAGACCCATAAGAGCTGGGAAAACTAAGAGGAAAAAATAAATACACAAAACCCTATTTAAGAAATCTGCCTCTTTCCTTAAGGAAACCAAAAAACAGGCAAAGCCCAAAGCAGCACTCCATATGCTTATAGCTGAACTCATTTATTTCATCAGCTGGTTGTCAACAAGGCAAAAACTCCTAAACCCATCTGCACAAAAAGCAACCCTGATGTCAGCTCACATGTGCAGACACATGGGGACACGGCACTCAGGCATCACGGCCTATCTGCATTGCTAGGACCACAGCCGAGGTCTGGTTCAGTCGCCTGGAGCCTGCCTACACATGGACTCTCTTACCTCCAGGATGAGCTGATTAGTTGAGAAAAAGGGCTGTATTTTGTATAAATGTCTGACAATCAACTTTTTAAACAGTCACCACTGATAATCAACTCGCACAGGTCTAGAGCCCTATAACCAGATTGATGATTAAATGTAAAATGATGCCAATTATGTTGGCCAATTATAAATGCTTCCAAATATTGAGACAGTTGTTCTCATAGCAGCAAATCTTACCTAGAAGCTTGATGGATTGATTTTTAATTTCAATGTGGGATTAATTACACTAGGTCAGGGTAACTCATGTGTGTTGAATTCCATTCATCCTTAAATCTCTGGCTCCACATTTATTTGGCTAAGATTACATCCTACATTCCGTAATTTTCAATTCCTAAGAAAACATGATATACATTTGCAAATTCTTGCTTTTGCTGTTCCCTGCTGGCATTGTTATTTTTGCTGTTTGATACCCGCTTAAGAGCTTAGATTTTAAAAAAAACATACAATAGCTTTGATTTATTAATAATATTAACATGTTAGACTAGAAAGAACATATCAGGGACGGAGGGTAGTGAGGTGAATCCTTTAGGACGAGGAGTAGAAGCTGTCCAAGGACACTTATTCAGCTGTGTGAGAAGCTTAAACACTTCCCGGTGACAGCAAGAAGGATTGGCCACAGTGAGGCCAAAGGAATTCCGAGCCTCATAATTACATCTTCCTTGGTCGGCAGCCCTGCGTCCACCGAGGACCTGGAAATTACCACCCTCTGGAATCAGAACCCCTGCCTGGGGGTCAAACAGAACTGTCACTGGAGGAACGGGGATTCCTTACAAAATAACATCTTATGGTTTGATACAGTGTCATTGTTCAACAAACATCCCCTAAGTGCCTACTGTGCGTCAAGCACCGGACGAGCAGCTATATGACTCCAGTGGAGAGAAGAAGAGAGAGAGAGAGAAAGTTTCCAGAGAGCGCGGCTTGTCTCGCTAATCAAAATAAATATGACACTCAAAACTTCAATCATGTAAGTCTTCAATATGATGATTATCTTAAAATCACATGTCAATGAATGTAGATATACAGTTTATTCATACCCTGCTTACTTCTAAAAAAGAATTTCTGACGGCAATAAAAGTAAAACTGGAGGGCTTCCCTGGTGGCGCAGTGGCTGAGAGTCCGCCTGCCGATGCAGGGGACACGGGTTCGTGCCCCGGTCCGGGAAGATCCCACGTGCCGCGGAGCGGCTGGGCCCGTGAGCCATGGCTGCTGAGCCTGC